ATCCATCCATCCATCCATCTATCCATCCATCCATCTATCCATCCATCTATCCATCTATCCATCCATCCATCCATCTATCCATCCATCCATCTATCCATCCATCTATCCATCCAGCCATCCATCCATCCATCCATCCACCTCGTCCACTGCGGCCCACGAAACGGAGGTCATTAAACTGGGCGCAGCCGTGCTTCATGGTCGCTGTGGCATTTCGTAGCTCTGCGCTGCTGTTGTCATCATTCCCAGCCATTACTGTGACCACCACACCATCTGGGACATCGTTGCCCAGGGCAACCACCTGAAGGAAATAGAAACCTTAACGTTTATAGCCCCTAACACCTGGACCTGGAATATTTGAAGATATACAGTAGATGGAAAACGTGATTATTTACAGTGAAGGCTCCTGGTAAGGTCTTGTTACATCTCCAGTGTTGTGGAAGGCTGCTGCAGAGAAAGTTAGGGCTGTCAGTCTGAATCAAGCCTCTGGGGGACACCTTTTTGTTGTGGTGGCGGGTCCGCACCTCCTGCTCATCCAGTTGGTGGTTGTTGAATGGTTGCGGAGGAGCTGGTGTCGGCCGATGCTTGACTAAGGGATCTGAAAGAAAGAAAAAAAAAAAGAATAGAGAACCACATTTTATTCCCCTTATTTTATACATGAAAACACCCTTTTGGAGCTACTTGTTTGTTCCAAAAGGTGAACCAGATATGAACCCACCCACTTGTTTGTTCCAAAAGGTGAACCAGACTTGCCAGTACACATTATAAACCTATGTTTTAACATAACTACATTTAAACAATGGCAACTTTTGTTGCCCTAAAATGCATCATTAGCTATTTTGATAGCTAATAAATGAATTGATTTAAGTTGTCAATCAAGAAATGGACAATTAACAAAAATGTCACAATGAATATAGGTGCTATAAACCCATCCATCTGGCTAATTATGAGAAAGGAATCTTTGTGCGATGACCATTAGCAGTGGTGTAATGATCCTTCTGGTAAAATAAAATAAAAAATTAAATTAAATTAAAATAAAATTGAAAACTAACAGGCAGAAAATACCTTAACATTGAAAACTAACAGGCAGAAAATACCTATCTCTTAAATGGGGGACCGTTTTATAAAGATATAAAGTAATAAACAATATATAAATAAAAGTGTAGTAATAATCAAAATGTATTTTTCATTTTCAATTCAGAAATTCAGAAGTTCCACTACATTTTTTTTACAATACGTCCTGTATTTGTGGAAAATAAATTCTTGTGAAATCGTCAAATATTACTAACGGATAAATAATAAAGTGTTCCCGAAAATTGTGGTTAATTAAGAACGTATACTATTTTTTTAGTCGTAAACTACAAAAACCACAATCCTTTTTAGCCCGCGTGTCGATTGCGTCATCAAACCGCGCCGAAAGTCGAAGAAAAACAGCTCTCGGATGATAGAGGTTTAGACATTTTCGTTTGTTTTTGGTAAGTTTTAAACTCTTTTTATGTTTTCATTACTTCTGGACTTCTCCTCTTTCACGGACTCTTCCTGCCGCTGCCGCCATGTGTTTTGCTTTGTTGTTTTCGTCACCGCAGGATTTGAATAGGAGCGACCTGAATTGTATTATTATTCACATTTCACTGCCGGAGGGGAAGTTACTGCGGTTACACCACCTGTACGTGCGCGCGCTCGCGCGTGTGTGAACGTATATGTGTGGTTTAGTAATTATTAATATTTATGCGGTACTTTAATACATTATAATATTACAGAGCTTCTTCAACAAGTGTGAACGGAAATTTTATTCTGAATCTCTAAACATTGACACGCATTTAATCGAACGAGAACACAACAAACCCCTACATATCTGGAATTAATTTAGTTTATTAATGTAATCAATAAGTCAACCAATAGTTTGTGACTAATTTTGCCGCGCTTTTTTTTAAGACGTTTGTAGTTTTAGCAAAAAAAAAGTAGTTTTTAAGGATTTCGACATACATAATTAAAATATTCTTTAATATATCTAACTATATACAGTATATATATATTATTAGCGTAACGGTTGTTAACGAGAAACCGCAGGTTTGTGTGTAACCCCCAAAACCTCCTCTGCTCCCGATGGCGCTGCTGAGACTGCCCACTACTGTACTGTACAGGCATGTGTTAAATGAAGAGAACGCATTTTTGTAGCGGGTTTTGCTGTTAGAAATGTTCCGATACGAAATAGTTGCTTTTGTCTTTAAACAATATTATTATGTTTATAATTATTTTTACAGTGGTTATGAGCAGTCCCATGGCTGGCTCCGTTGCTTCTTCCAGTTCTAAAGACCGCTCTGTGTCCAGGACCAGCTTCATCCCAGAACTCCAAAGCATGATGTGAGACACACGTGCACAAACACAGAGATAACTCACCCCAGTAAAGCATTGGGCTGCTGTTGCTGAAAAGACTGTTGGAAGCCATAGAAACCTGTAAAAAAAAACCAAAAAAACAATTCTAAACTACTAAATTTCTCCGTTATTATTTCAAACACGATAGAAAGAGCACAAGCTGGATTTAATTTACAGTGAGCCAAGAAAGCTTTAGGCTAGCTATTTGTAATAGTAAGGTTGAGCGTGCAGATAAAGTTTTCACTATGACTATATAATTTTTTAAAAATTCCTGGTTTTCCTGTAAAAAAAATTTGACATTTTATTGAAAAAAACAAAACATGACATGCATTGTTTATATTTCTTTGTCACTGCAAAAATAATAATAATAATATTTAGCTGAACACTTTTTTCAGTGTTTGTCAATCAACCAGAACTGGCAAAAAAAATTACATCTTTAAATCTTTATTAAAATTATTAAAAATATTAATAATAATAATGACTCGTTAAGCAGTACTAGCCTCTTACTTGTTCAATACTGTAATAATTTTGTCACAGAAAACACAACCAAACAGTAAATATATATATATATAAAATACATCATAATGCACATTTACTTTTCTTTAAAAAGTTTCATCAGAATCAGACTGTGTGTTTGCCAGTCTTGGTTTGTGTGTATGTACTGTATATATGTATGTGTGTGTGTGCATGTTTAGAGATTACTCACCTGCTGTTCAGATGTGGGCTGCAGGTAATCGAAGTTGGTGGTCAGACAGACTAAAACCCAACTAAACCCCAAATTGTAAAACCCGAAAACCAAGATTGAGCCAACCTGCCTGCAACACCAAACCAGATGGGGTGTCACCTGCGTGATTGGTGGCCAATCAGCTGTCAGGTGTTTGTATCTGACTAACAGAGGAGAGAGTAAGAGGGGGAAGGGGGGGGAGGGGGGGGAGGCAGACAGGGAGGGAAGGAGAGGAGGGAAGAGCCTCAGGATGTGGGTTGAGGTTAGTTTGTCAGCAGGGAAGTGGCTTCACTGGATGCAAATTGAGGTTTGACCATATTTTTTTTGCTCACAAAGCCTGTGTTTGTGTGTTGTTGTGTGCACGTGCACGTGCATGTTTGTAGGAGCCATGATTTTTTTTTTTTTTATTGTGAATTAAAAATGTATTTGATGTACAGATGTTATTAGATAGATAGATAGAACTTTATTAATTTAAAACCATTGTATTTTTTAATATTTTTATACATTCAAAATAATACACAATATAAAAGTAAGTAAGAAAAGTTTGTGTTTAATGGGTAATCAGCTGTTAATGGACAAATGGATGGATAAACAAATCATTATTTGAATTGATGGATAGTTGGATGGATGGATGGATGGATGAAAGGATGGATGGATAAATCATTGTTTGAATTGATGGATGGCTGGGTGTGATTGGTAACTTACGCTTGACATGTCCTTGGTGAAGTTTCTCGGGTCTCGGGAATAAGCTTAAAATCGCTGGCTGAAACTGGTGGAACTAGAAAAACAACGGACAAACAAACGTTTCATCAGACATACTGTATGATGTGGTCAGTTGTTTGTTTTTTTTTTAAATAATTTTATTTACCTTTCCTTTGGAGCTTTCAAAAGCTCCAAATAAGAGGGATTTTTGGGAAGAGAGCTTAGATAATCAATGGCTGTCACTTGCATGTTTGTGTCGTCCAGGTTTGCTCTGGGAGATGCTCGCAGACCACTGCACGAGACAGCTGCTCTGGTGGAGGACATTGTCCACACGCAACTCGTTGCCATGGTAACGCAGAATTTTCCCAGGAGCTGTGAGATAGAAAAATAAAGGATCTGTTAGTAATTTGTGTGTGGTGGAAAGTCTTATCTTTTAATAAAAAATGTAAATGGATATATGTAAAAAAAAAAATATATATTTTAAGAATGTATTCAGTGTTCAATTTACAACTTGCTGTTCTGTATTGTGACGGAGATTCTGTGATTTATACATCAGTTACATCAGGCATGCGAGGGGGCGCTGCTCCGGGGGTCCAGAGTCATTTCTGCCGAGGACATTCTCTTCCTAATGAGGCGAGACAAGGTGAGGAGAAAATACACTTCATTGTAAAATGTCATTCAATATATAAATAACTAAAATACATTTCATTTTGAAAATACACATCATTCTGAATTTTCATTGAAAATATAAATAACTAAAATACATTTCATTTTCATCCTTTACGACAGAGGAAGGTGGCAAGGCTGTTGAAATATCTTCAGTTCAGAGATTATAAATCCAAACTCATGAAAACCCTGGAGGACGATGACACACCGCAGGAAACGGGTACAGACACTCAGGCCGTTAATCGCTTTTAAGACGTTTGAAAACGATTAGAATTTTTGTGTTGTCATTTTTTTTTTTTTTTACAATCTAGTTTTAACAGCCTCCATTAGCACAGAAACATTTATAGTCTCAGTCTTTTCCTTACGATCTAGATCTGAGGTTACCAACAATATTTGTGAGAGGAACAGATTTTTTTTTTCTGGACAGGCATCTTGGAGGACAGACCCTCAAATAGAGTAAAATAAAAATCACATTGTTGTCTAATCAAGACTCCTAAATGTTGGGGACAATACTGATGATACGGACTGCTTCAATAGTGGGTGGGATTAGATGGATACACACAAACCAGCACAGAAACTGAGAATCACAAAAACATTTTTTTTTTCAAGAGTTTATGCTGCGATTGTAACGATTCATTTTGGCCTTTGAAGAAAACCCTCCAAAAAAATACGCTGCCTGTGTCAGAACTGACAAATTGAGAAAAACGATGCCATTATTGTGAGATTTTCTGCTGGTTTTCTCAGACAGGGGCGCCAGTTCTGCTGCAGGAGGGACGCAGAAGAGGCAGAAGTTGGCCCAGGATTTTCTGGTGTGGATGGATCAGACCGGCGAACTCCTGTCACTGGCTGAACGCCATGAAGTAGACCCCGTCAAACAGGAGCGACTGGAGGTCAGAGGTCACTCGCGTTCGCCCGCGGGTTTTTGACTATTGTCGGTTTATACCTGTGAAGACACAATGTAGTAGTAGCAGCACGCAAATTGTTAATTTAGTAACAGCTAATGTTAATAATCTTATTAGTTATGCAAACATGTTTATCCGCGTCTGCTTCATCACTAAGCGGAACTTTATTTTAATTTGTATGTTTGATGTTCGTAGCGTTTGGAGCGTCAGACCAGATCCATGGACCAGAATCAGTACTCGGAGTTCTGCGAGAGCCGACAGCTGAGTTTTGGTACGGTTTAAACGTGAGATTTGTCTCGGATCATTTTTGCAAATGATATTGGGTTTCAAAAAAATGGAATTGCTATCTATCTATCAATCGATCTCGCTATCTATCTGTCTATCCATCTGTAAAAAAAACAAATCTTCACATATTCTGTCACAGAGACTATCCATCTGTAAAAAAAGAAAAAATCTTCACATATTCTGTCACAGAGACTGAATCTTGTCTCATTGTTCTTCTAGCAAAGAAAGCATCAAAGTTCAGAGACTGGCTTGACCTCAGCAGCTTAGAGGTGAAACCGAACAGCATCGCCATGGAGATCCTCTCATACCTGGCCTATGAGACTGTAGCTCAGGTAACAGGTTGTTTTATCTACCAATTTACCATTGCTATTAAGGCAGAAACTGTTTTTTTAAATTATGTAACTTTGACGGCTTTTTAGTGACATCAGCCCACACTGTTTTTTTGTTTCAGATTGTGGATTTGTCTCTGCTGGTCAAACAAGAAATGACCGCTAAAACGAATCCCATCAGTCACCTGATCTCTGCCAGTTATATCCAGTACAACACACACGCCGAGGTACACATTTTCACAAGCATCACTTTGATTCACAAACACTGTTGAAAGCCATGTTGTTGTTGATAAATCCATCCTTCCCGGGTTTCCTTCAACAGGTGAAAAAGGATCCCGACTCACCTGAGGCTACGCCGCCCTCCACCCCTGGCTCCTCCCACTCATCGAAGTCCCTCCCACAGGGGAATGGCAGTCTGGACGGACGGGCAAGACAAAGAAAACGCAAAAAGGTGTTGCGTTGGCCGCGTTCTTATTTACACGGGACCTCAACTCGGTGTTTGTGTAAAACGGAAGTATGGTGTGTTTCAGGTCTGCGCGGCCACGGTGGAACAGCCAAGTGGAGCCATCCAGCCCTGTCACATCAGAGAGGCCATTAGAAGATACAACTGCAGACACACGGTAAGTCCTCACCTGGTGTCTTGTGTTTGGGGGAGGTTCACTGGAGGAACTTAAATGTCTGAAATAAAAAATAAAAAAAATCTTTAGCTCTAAAAGTCAGGAGTTTAACTACGGTGTTTGTGAGACTTACCAGTGTTGTAATAGGACAGATGTGGCCTCATGTTGATATCCCTGGTCAGTTCAGATAGATCATTCTCACTGAGCCACATGTGAGCGCCCTGAAACTCCCGACAGTCCTGCATTGGTAGTAGGTTTTTCCAGCAGTTTTCCAGGACACTGCAGATGCTCGATTCAGGTAGCCAGCTGTCCTTAAGGCTGTAATCTCCCAGTCGACGCGTTCTAGTTCGACTTAAATTCTGATGAGGGGTGAATCTCTAGACAAAGACCCAACTGACTATTACCTTCCCCTTTTCAAAAAAAGTCATTATGAAAGTTGTTTTTTTTTTTTTAGTTGATTCTAAAATCTTCTTCTGTTTCTCCTCCAGACGGCTTACTGCAGGAGTGGGATGGCCTTCCTCGCCTGCTAGGAATTATTTCATCCCTCAACAGAGGGAGAGATGCTTTTTCTATTTTCTATCATTCAAATAAAGATTTTTTTTGTTCATAGTTTTCTGGACCCAACACTTTGTAAAAAGAAACAAACAAACAAAAAAA